GCTACCGGCGGAACGATTACAGCCGCGAGCGAGGGGAAGCCTACTACGAGTCCGAGTACCGTCATTCCTACGAGTACCGGCGCTCCCGGGACCGCGAGGGCAGCTACCGGAGCTGCAAAAGCAGCCGGCGTAAGCACAGGCGGAGGCGGCGCCGCAGCCGGTCCTTTAGTCGCTCCTCATCGGTGAGTATCCTCCTGTGCTGGGCCTCCCCTGTAACCTTTCTCTCCCAGGTGACGAGCTGGGTAAGTAGAAAACTCGCTTTCTAACACTCTCAGACTCAGCTTGAGAAAGGTGTAGAAAGGCTCTGATGCAGATGGCAGCTCCTGACGCGCCTCGGCAGTGCCAGCTGGGCACGGGCAGCTCAGCCCCTCTTGTAGTGTTGCCTGCTCAGAGGTGGGAGGAGGACAGGCGTGCCCGGCATGTCCCCCGGGGTGGTGCTGTGCCCCTCAGCTCCTCCAGCCCTGCAGAGCGCTGCCTTTGCTCGGTGGTGCTCATTAAGAGGTGCCGAGGAACCCCAGCCGAGCAGCCCTTTGTACGAGGCGTGTACAGCGAACGTTCAGCTGATCCTCATCCCAGAGAGCTTGTGACAGGTGGATTAGTCCCCGTGGTCCCTGGTTTGGGCCCGTGCTCTATGGCAGGAGGCCCCCATCTCTGAGAGTTAGGTCCTGCACCAGAGTAGGATCCTTCTGGGTGGGAACAGCTGACGTGGGATGTTGTGCGAGAGGATTTGCGAAGGCACAAAGCTTGTGGACTGGTCAGTTCGGGTGGAGACAGCAACCACCACAGGCTCTTCTCAGCAGTGTCCCTGGCTTTCTCTTCTTGTCTGTTCTGCTGTTCACCTTCCACTTCTGTTAGACCCCAGACATGTTCTCTGCTCTGTGTGTGGAGCTCTCAGTGTTCTCTGGTCTGTGCTGGCTGTATGTCCAGGGATGGGATTGTGTGGGCTGAATCAGGGACCCAGGTCTGATGGCCAGTGGCTTCCAGGTGTGGGGATACGTGGCTGAAGAACTGAAGGCAGGAATTTTCTCTTCTCTGGCATAAATCTCTTATCTGGCTCATCCCAGGCTGTCCTTATTACCCTGTTGGGCCTCTGCTTCTCACCTGGAAGTTAGTCCTTCCAGGATCAGCTTCTTTGGGGGAGGGCTTAGGAAGAAGTGTCACATCTTCCCCCAGGCAGGCACTTGTAAATTCTCTCTGGTTTTGGATGGATCGTTGTAGCCAGAGTTGCTTCTGAAATCTCTGAACTCATCTTTCTCTGAGTGTCGGGGCCGGGGGAAGCTCTGTGGGTGGTTGTTGGAGCAGGATGGGAAGTGCCTGTGTGGGACAGCCTGGCCCTTTGCTCATGCAGGACTTCACAGCACCTGCCTTCTGCTGCCGTTGCTCAGTGGCCGCTGTGGGGCTGAAGCGAGCCCCTCACCGTGGCCACTGGGTGCCCAGCCGTGGTGCCGTGCTCCAGTGTGCTCTCTTGGCGTTACCCGGGACCTGAAGCCAGTGCCGTTCCCCTCCGAGCTCCCCTAGGAGTGAGAGCAGCTGGCCCCTTCCACTGCAGAGGCTAGCCCTTGTTCTTGCCATCTCTGCTCACACTGGTTCGGGTGGGGCTGTTTGTAGGTTCTTTTTTCTTTTTTTTTCTTTCTTTTTTTTTTTTTTTTGCTACAAAGAAAAGCAAACTGTTTTTTTCTTTTCTGAGCTAGTGTGTTGTATCTTGACATGTTCCCTTGCAATATCCCTATCGTTATATATTCCTCTGTGCCGTATGAATTGGCTGGGAATCTCCTCCTGCAACCCCTCCTCAAACAACCATGTGAATTTCCAAACCAACCAATGCGTGACGCTGGCTGCTGCGCTGGTTTGAAAATCTGATTGGTGAATGATGAATTCCCTGTCTGCCTGGGCCAGCAGCGGAGTCGACAGAGCAGCAGAAGGGCCAAGAGTGTGGAGGACGACGACGAGGGGCATCTGATCTATCGCGTCGGCGACTGGCTACAAGAAAGATGTACAGCCAAATCGTAACATAATTTAGCTCTCTAGTTAAGCTCCCATCGCAGTCGCAGATCTGTCTTATCTTTCTGTTTCGTTTTATTTTCATTGTTTATTAAAGAGAAACCCTCTCCTTTTCCTTCCCCTTTTGTAAAAGCTACGTTTATATTTTGTATTGTTCCTGAAGTGCCAGGGAACTAGGGCAGTTGCCTTGTGCAGCTGGTGTCAGCCTTCCGCTGCTCCGGCCTCTCAAGCTGTGTGCAGGTTAGGTGTTGCAATGCATTCTCCTCTGCCTTGTGTATGCGCTGCAGCCAGGTTGTGCTCAGCCTCTCACCTGCCTTCCTCTCTCTCTCCCTCCCAGATGAGATTATTAGCACCTTAGGGGAGGGCACGTTCGGCAGAGTGGTGCAGTGCATCGATCACCGGAGGTACGTCTGCTCCTGGGCCAGGGAGGGATGTGGTGGGGAGGGAAAAAGAGAAATCACAGCTGGCGATGGAGCATTTTGAGCTTAATGCAGGAGCCTGGGCCTGAGAATGGGTGTCTTGGTGTCCATTGTTCCTCTGCTGGTCTGGGCACTTGCCCACTTGGGTTGCTGGAGAGGGGGCGGGGGGGACCCTCAGGGCTGTTTGTAGGGAGGGAGAGGGCACGGCTTTGGTGGACACCCCTTGGCAACAGCCACCTTCTGGCTTGAGTGAGAGTGGTGGAAGACTGCTGCACGGGACAAGGCTGGTCCAGAAAGTGCTTTTGGCAGGGCACGGGCTTTCTGACTCATCTCAGGGGTGATCTTGCACTTTATTCCTGTTTCTCCCCCAGGGGTGGTGCACGTGTTGCTCTCAAAATAATTAAAAATGTAGAGAAATACAAAGAGGCTGCTCGACTGGAAATTAATGTGCTGGAGAAAATCAACGAAAAGGACCCTGAGAATATGAAGTGAGTGTGCTCTTGGTGTTAAAATGGAAGGGCAGGCATTGCCTTACCATGGTTGCAGGGACGGGATGAGAGAGGTACTGGATGTTGTGTGACCAAATTAGTTTGTAGCTGGCTTTTGGAGGCATATTGGCTTGCTGTGGGACACAAGGACTGGAGGAGCCTGGCACAGGGATAACATAGCCGAGTGGTGCCTGCAGATCTGTCCCAAATCAGAATTTTTCTCTCAGTCTTTGTGTCAGGATGTTTGACTGGTTTGACTACCATGGCCACATGTGCATCTCCTTTGAACTGCTGGGACTCAGCACCTTTGATTTCTTGAAGGACAACAACTATCTGCCTTATCCCATCCACCAAGTACGGCACATGGCCTACCAGGTGTGCCAGGCTGTGAAATGTGAGTGTTCCCTGCTCTTCTCTCTGCTGGTCCTTGACTGAGCTGTGCAGCTCCCACTGTCTGTGCCAGTTCTGAGCCTGAGTCTGAGCTGTCCCACCCCTCCAGCAGTGAATGCTTGGAATGAATCCTTTTTATTTTCCCGACTGTAATGTTTTCTGATGCGTGCAGGCTGGCAGTAGCTCAGGGCACTTCAGCATCCAACCCCCCTACACATTCTGGTGGTCGATAGAGTAAATCTTTGTGCTTCTGCTGAAGCGTCTTGGCCTGGACCATCCTTACTCTTCACTCCCAGTGGCCTAAGTGTGGGCTAAACTGGTGCCAGTATGAGCGAACTGAATTAACAGTGTTTCCTCTTTGGGTGGGTGCAGCCTCGTTTTGCTTCCGTTCCATCACCCCTACTCTGTTTGCTTCCTCAGTTCTGCATGATAATAAACTCACTCACACTGACCTCAAGCCAGAGAACATCCTCTTCGTGAACTCTGACTATGAACTCTCCTATAACCTGGAAAAGGTAACAGTGCTGCCTTGGTTTGGAGGTCTTCTCTTGGGTTCCTGGTATCCCTGACCTTCTTAGCAGCTGGGAGGAGTTGGAACATGGGCCCAGGGGACACAGGGTTGACCCACTTGTTCATGTACTTGTTCAGGGCCTCATATCTTGCATGCACTGCCAGTGTAGTCTGTAATGAAGCCACAGGGACTGCAGGCCCACCTGGCTGACAGCAGGGGTTTGCTTGGGAGCTGTGCCAGCACCCACGTACGCTTGGAAGCCTTCATCTCCCACAGGGCCCTGTGAGAGCCTCGGCTGTATAAGGAAGGGGCTAACTGTGTTTTGAAACTCCTGAGTAACTGATACTTTTTTGGTCCCAAAGAAGCGTGATGAGCGGAGTGTGAAGAGCACAGCCATCAGAGTGGTGGACTTTGGCAGTGCCACGTTTGATCATGAGCATCACAGCACAATTGTCTCTACCAGGCATTACCGGGCCCCTGAAGTCATACTAGGTAGGTGCTGCTTGGTCTTTGCAGGAGTTTGCCTTGAGGGCAATGGGTGCTGCCTGCTGGATTAAGGCGTTTTGCCCCCACATCATTCAGCAGCTGTCCTGGGTTTACCCTGGGACATGAGGAGTGCTGTATTTAATGTGCTCTACGGTGCTATCTTCTGGGAGGGCTGACAATGAGTCAGTTGGTGTTTTGGCATTGCTGCTGGCTGGGCAGTGTATTGTCACCAGTATACCAGGAGCCTGGCTGGAATGGGAATTTTTTCCTTTTTTTTTTTTTTTTTTTAAAGAGGGTAAGGGAGAGGAATTTGGAATTCTAGGCTATAACTGGATCTTTTAATTAAAAACTTTTTTTTTTTTTTTAAGAGCTTGGCTGGAGCCAGCCCTGTGATGTGTGGAGCATTGGCTGTATCATCTTTGAGTATTATGTGGGTTTCACCCTGTTCCAGGTGAGAACTGTGTGCTGTATTGCTACCTCACAACTGATGGAGGAGGATGCTAGCCATTCCCAGTACAGCCAGGAGCCTCTGGGACTGGTGGGGTTCCCTCCAACGCTGCAGTCTTGTAGACATGACAGAAGTGTTGCCCAGCACGGGGAGAATACCCAGGGCTGGGAGGGAGAACGACTGGAATATGTTCCATGCCTTCCCTTTACACCTCTCTCTCTCAGACACATGACAACCGGGAGCACCTGGCCATGATGGAGAGGATCTTGGGGCCAATTCCTTCTCGGATGATCCGGAAGACAAGGTGAGCAAGGCTGGATGGGCACGACAGGCTTGCCAGCTCTCTCCTGCTTCACAGCTTCTGCCTGAGGGATCAAGAGGTGTCTGTGCTGCTGCAGTGGCCTTAGTATCATGTGCTGCTGGGGCTGGCGTGTCACTGTTGCTGTGAGATGTTTTGTGCTTGGGTGTAACTTGTTCCCACCTCTTACTCTGACAGGAAACAGAAATATTTCTACCATGGCCGCCTGGACTGGGACGAGAACACTTCTGCTGGCCGCTATGTTAGGGAAAACTGCAAGCCGCTGCGGGTAAGGTGGAGTGGGCAGGATCCCCTCGTTGCTTTATCCTTTTCTCATTGCAGAGTCTTATAGTGCCTGCCCCAGTTGTGAAGATTCTTCCTGTGGGCAAGGTTGGGCCACCGAAAGGGTCAGACCAGTGTCTTCCTGAAGGAGCCTTGGCTGTACCAGACATAAACTAGGAAGACTGCAGCAGCCTGAGCTTAATCTGAAGTGGAGGAGGAGGGCGTGGAGACCTCAGGAAGTGCTGGGGAAAGATGGTGGTTGTGGGGAGGGAGGAGGGTGTGAAAGCTTGGCAATTCCGTGCTTGGTGCATCTGCCCAGAATTCAGGTCTAGGATGAGTGACAGTCTGAACAAGCAAGTCTTCCCCTAGCTTAGCTGTTCAGCCCAGGGAACCTGCTGGAACAGGCGCAGCGTCCTTGGCTCTGACCTCTCCCCTCCCTCTCCCCAGCGCTACCTGACCTCGGAGGCTGAGGACCATCACCGCCTTTTTGACCTCATCGAGAGCATGCTGGAGTACGAGCCGTCCAAGCGCATCACCCTGGCTGAAGCCCTCAAGCACCCCTTCTTTGACATGTTGGAAATGGCGCCGAGCACAAAAATGTGGGACTCTAGCAGAGACATCAGCCGGTGATGCCACAGGCGCCAGCCTGCCCTCAGATTCTAGCCCCCGTGGAGGCCTGTGAGATTTCTATTCAGACTCTTGGTGCTTTTTTTTTTTATACATGAGAACTCCTCCCTGGACACGTTTGTAAAGCTGTTAATATGTGAGATACTGTAAATAGCCCATATTCTATATTGGCCGCTGAGCACCGTGGGCTCGACCCTCCTGCTGCTGCTGCCGCCGTTCCCATGAGGTGAGGGGGGCCTGGATGTCCATACTGTAAATATCTGTTCATGTGTTGCTTTGTCTCCCGTCCTACCCTGCCCTCCTTGCTGTAAATACTCCAGGACTCGCAGCTCTCTGTAGCTTATCTGTTTCCTTGTAAGTTATGAAACTGGTGGGACTGCATGGGAATTATTTTTTGGATTAATGTCATAGCCCATCCCCACACCAGAGTTTTATAAGAATTTTGTACAGTCTTTGTGAAAAATAAATATTAAGTGAATAAACCACCTGGTGTGGGTTTGGACCAGCAGCCCCCCCTCTTGCTGGTCGGTTGCCATGCACATCGCTGGGGAGGTTTCAGACCTCGTGGCAGTTCTGTGCCATCTTTGCCAGCGTGGCTGGGAGAGTCTCGCTGGCGTGGTGTCAGTGAGGGAGCAGACACACTCAGGCTGCTCTACAGGAGCTTATTATGCCTTTGCACAAGCACCGTCTGCCTGCACGGGCTGTCAGCCGGTGGAGGGATAAAGGAAAAGTCTGGCTTCACCTGGGGCAGCCTCAGGAGCAGGGACACAGTCATCTCCATGAACTTAAAGACCTTTGGCTGGAAGCTTTTGCTGCTTCCTGCAGGATCACTGGGCCAGGCAGCAGCCAGCCGCTGCCATGTGCCAGAGAGCAAGGGCAGGGAAAGACTGTCCTGCTGTGTGTGTAGCCAGTCCCCAAGTGTGTCTGGATTGATCAAATAATACCTGTCATCTCACTCAGACTTAAAGAAAAAACCACTTATAACACACACTGCTGTCCAAAACCCAAATCCACAGCTTTTACCTCTCCAACAGCAAGCACAGCTATGGGTGCCAGCGATCTTGATGGAAGTGGGAGCCCAGGGATTTTTGTGTGACTGTATAAGTGTGTGTTCAGAGGCTAAAGAATATAAGGTGCAGTTGCTGCTAAGCACTGAGAGCTGGGACAGGAACTAGAGGCAAGTAGGGGCAGATGTCTTGTGCTGCTCTCAGGCTGCTGAGGAACCCCCGTTTGAGAGCGAGTGTCCACATGCAGCTGGTAGGTGATGGAATCAGGGAACCCTATAAATAAATGGCCCAGAAGACACAAAAAATAATTTTCCCAAGCTCTTCTTCATACCATGAGTTATTCCCCCTTTCACTTCTATGGAGTTTGCTGTACAACTGGACTGGGAGGGGGGGGGCTCCCTGAGCTGCTGTGCCGTGCCCCCGAGGTCAAAGCCTGGGGGTTCCACACGGGCCCGAGGCGAACAGCGCCGGGACTGTCCCGGTACGAGGTGGGAGCCCAGCGGGGCGGGTTTGGAT